GTGAATAACACATAGATTAGTGTTAGCCCTCAACGGATAGTTAAAGCGCGGTGGTTGTCATGCAACCTGTGTTTGAATTTCATGTAAATAAACAATGTATTTTACACACGTATACGTCGCTATGAGTCCTATATCGAACAGGACGCTGCACAACGACAACCGTTAAAATCCTATTATAAACCGCATACCTAATAGTAACCGGACCCCTGATTTCAGCTTCAGTGTTAAAGAGTTCTCAGCAAAAATTGAAAACATGAAAAGTACCCCCAATTCAACAAGACCGTGACCGACTTTGTTTCAATGAGCTGGTACATTGTTCCTAATCCTATTCATTTGTTTTGACAACGTGCCTAAAAGATATTCATACCTCTTTATTGTTCAGTAGTGTGAGGATGTCAAACACGCAGTGAAACTGCTTTTGTCTTGTGACAACTTTTGTCAATACTCCTTGTGAATACGTCCGTGTGTCGCAAGTTTTCGTCAATGAGCTGTTCTCATCGAAAAACTGTTAAATTCTTTTTTAATGCTCAGTTTATCTTTCAAAAACAACTAATTTCTTGATTTTAAAAAAGTCGTGTCGTTTTCCCATGGAAATCAAAGCCAAAAGATTGCACTACATTATCGGTAAATCGCTTCCGGGTTTCGTTCACCATGAAGTCTGTGACCTGCCATTAACATATTTAAATGAACTAAATTAATTTGAACTTTTTAGTGCCGTACCATGATCATTTTCTACTAAGCAATGCATTAATGTTTGTTTTTATTTGAAACTCCTGTCAGAATATACTTTCCGTTACGAAGAAGAAAAATGCATATTACATTAAATATACAGAGTATTTTTTTTTCATGTGAACAGTTTTTTTGTGACGTGAGGCTTATCACTCTTTCCTGACATCTAAATTGGAGTTACACTTATATTCAAAAGATTGTACGGTGTATTGTTTGTTTTGTGCGGGTGATGTGGGGAAAAAATGACCACACCCATTTAGTGATTGCAATATGTCCCTAATATAAACCGCACCCTGAACTTGAGCTGTTGATCCCGATTTTTTATTTGATACATTGCAATATAAACTGTGGTTTATAATAGGATTTTAACGGTACTGCCTTTTAAAATGGATTGTGTGTATAACAGTGTCAGCAAATGATGTATTAACATGGACATGGATAAACTAAACTACTACTGCCATGTTTTGTGCATTAAAGTAGCAGCATTGATAGCTAATAGTCTTGGTGTAAATCAGATTTAAACTGGTTGGACTAAACAAACCTCAAAGAGAGACTGAACTTGTACGGGACTGAATATTCTCTTTTTGTGATATACTATTAAATTCTGAAGACGTATTCCTGCATACATTGAAGTGTAGTTTGTAACTGCTATTTTGTTTGTTTACATTACAGATTGGAAGAAGCAGCAGAATTAGATGATTCTATGGATTCTTGTGTGGAAGAAATCAATAAAATTCTGAGAAAGCTATAATGCTAAACAAGTCTTAGAGAGATTCAATCCTGTCTTACAACTGAAATGACCAAGTGGGTTCCATAAATGTATTAGAATAGTACATTGTTGATGGAACTATGCCCCTTTTGTTCATCATACTAGAATATGTTGATGTTCATGTAGAGGTGCTCCAGTGGCTTTCTATTCACATCACCTCTAGCTACAACTAATCTATACAAAAATTGTGTTAGCAACCAATCAGAATAGTTTTTCAGTGAGGCACACTGCTTGATAATCTCACTAAAAAACTCAATTAGAAAGAAGTAGACAATATACACAGTTTATCAAAAGCAAATGGACCATCTACCTATATCTGATTTTAATTGAATTAATCATGGTGCCATTGCGCTCTTGGAATATTGGGACATTCCATTTGAGAAGACGGTTTTTACAATGGATTTATCATTTACATTTAAATTTTTTCTGTAAATAGCTTTTTCTTAATGCATAATTTTATGTAATTTTTAAGCATAATTAACAACTCTCACACTGCCATGTTTATTTAAGCTCGCTTTGTCAACTTCATTGGATTTAAAAGGCAAAAAATAAAACGGACAGCTATACATTACATGCCATACATGTATTATGTATTGTGGATTTCATTGAAAATAAGACAGGCAAGAGATCATGCTTTTTACTGTTTGAGATTGCACTAGTGTTTTATAGTCTCAGAATGAGAATCCTGTCAAATTTTCACAGGCACATATTTTAATATTGCTGCAATTAATAAACCTAATATAAAGTGTAAATTAATTCCTCTTTTTGAGTTTATTTTTAATTGCCGAAATTTAGTACTTAATCATTTGTAAATGCAAGGTACTACCTGTTTCTAATACCTGTGGCAACATACTTAAACTTGTTGTAACTAATTTTAAATACTGTATTAATTCAGTGTTATTTTTTAATAAAAAAGTTGTAAAATACATCATTGTTGTGTGTGCTTTGGTAAAATCATGCAAATGTGGCAAGGTTAAACTTGAAAATATTTGTTACCAAATGTACTGTAAAACCTGTTAAAAAGCGACATGCAATTTTAGCGAATTGTGGTAAAATGACATAATGAAATGTCATTGTTGATTCCTTGTTTTCACAATACTTGTCTGTCGCGTGCCAAAACAAATGCGCAGTTATCACCGACATGAAAACAAAGAAAAACTGTCAAGTGTAATTAGGAAGCGCCCAGATTTTTATGTTCCGGATTACTGTATACTAATCCCCAAGCCTTGGCCATTTTGAAGTTATAATAGTCATTGGCAACATCTTGAATTAGCGAATCAGTTCTCGCGAAAAAGACGTGTTTTACAGTATGAACTGGTTTAATTTTGTAAAATAAATTCTCGAGTCGATGGAAATCCCAAAATTTTGTAGCAGTGAAAACCTTGCTGAGCTCCTAAAGTAACGAGACTTTTTTCACCACAAATTCCATAAAATCCAGTATTCCCTGGGTTTCAACTTTTCATTGAATAGTTATTTGACCTTTTGATTGCCAAGGCATTTACTTTATTTGTCATTTGTTTTCATACCATTTTGTCCACATAATATTGCAAATGTTGCTTCAAAATTTTGAGGTTTAGTATAGAAATATTCTGTTTGCAAAAAGTAAGAGGTCAGCTCCTGTCTACATGTGAATGCATCTTTTCTCTGACAGCTACCATAATTGACAATACAGCAGTATTGCAAGAAATGTTTCTCAAAGCAACATTTATATTGTTCAGCAAACTATCTGCTGGCTAGGTGTTAGAAACGTGCTTGCTTTGAACTTTGTTTCTAGAGATAATTTTACAAGGATTCTTCATTTGATTAGATGCATTTTGTGCGCCTCTTATTCAACCTCTTTCGTCAAAGTTCAGGCTTTTTCTTAGGTTTTGAAAAATTGCAAGTGATTTACAAATAGCTCTGAATACATTAATAAATGGTTACCAAGCGGAGGTCACAATGTCACAATTCAGTTTTAGTGACCTGAAGAGGAAAACTGAACTTAATTAATTCTTTCTGATTTGAAAGCCACTGTAAGCAAGCAACAAGAAAGACTCTAAAATTGTTGAAGCACAATCCCAAGTGAGTTGTGAGAGATGTAACACTTAAGACCATCCCATCATTTGCCCATGTATAAAAAAAAATTACTAGAGGTGTCAATCCTATATACTAACATATCACACACAAAACTGTCTACTTTGAAAGGATCTATTGTTATGAATAGTTTAGTCTAACAATGATTTAAATCAATCTGTGATTGAGTCATTTTGAAGATTAAACTGGCTGTTTAAAACATGCAACTTTTAGGTGATAAACCATCAAACCCAGTCCAACTAGCATGCTAATGGCAAAATCATATTCTACATGTACATATATTCATGACTGTATAGAAAAGAAAACTCAGACATGTATTCAGACATTGAAAAGAGCATTTTTGTGAAACACTATGGCCATGTCTTTCTTACTGTCATCTTTCTCTTTATGTATAACCGGAGCCATGGTTCAACAATGGTGGTAAAAATATTTTTTTAAGATTGAGCCCCAATATTCTGTGGTTGGATTAATAGTTAAACAAGCAGCCTCTCGGCTGAGATAGCTCCGCTGTTAGCAATGCACATTTCAATTAAAGAACAGAAGAGATCATTAGAAAATGAACAATATGCATAGTATCAATGCAATGGGACTTGCTGTTTTCAACAAAAATTCAAAAATATAATTTTTCACCATAAATGATGGTTTTTAACAAGAAGAAAATATCACTTTTTACCAAAAATGACAAAAATATTCATCAAAATTAGAGAATTGAAGATATCATGAAATGAACAAATTTGAGAGTGGTCCACATGTAGTATCCATATATGTAATATCAAAGCAATTGGACTTGTCGTTTTTAACAAGAAGTCGAAAATATCACTTTTTACCAAAAATTACAAAAATATTCACCAAAATTAGAGAATTAACGATATCATTACAAAATGAACCTATCTGAGTGAGGTCCACATGTAATTCCTATATATGTAATATCAAAGCAATTGGACTTGCGGTTTTTAACAAGAAGTTGAAAATACCAAAAATGACAAAAATATTCACCAAAATTAGAAAATCAAAGAAAGCTTAGAAAGAACTCCCGTGTGCTGAGAGTATTGGAGACACATTAAAAATTAATTCAAAATTACTTGAACTTGAGATATTGATGGAAATGCAGAAAACTAATTATGCAAATAAGGTAACTAATATGAACACATTTAAGTGTAAAACTAATAAGGTCTGCACAATGTAAAAGTAACAAGATCTGCGTAATGTAATATCTATGTACCAAGTTTCATTGAAATGTGATTAGAACCAAAAAAATATTAATTATTATGCTAATTAGTGAATTAATATGAACAGATTTTAACCCAAAATTAATCAGGCTGCCTATTGTCCTAGAGCATTTATGTACCAAATTTTATCCAATGTGATGATCAGT